TTGAATCTACATGTCCTAGTCAAGAGAATAAGCAGACTATATGACATTTGAGGTAGAAGGGCTGTTCACTGCTTCTGCCAAAGCCAGGCCACAGGGTAACAAGGAACGTGAGACCAAAAGGAGAGTACCAAACCGTGACAGAGAAATCCTGTGGCTGCACTCCATGTCCCTGACATTTTTTGTGTACATATCACTAGACAGCAACTAGATAAAAGACTGAAACAGTTCTGGAGCAAAGATCGGAAGCCCCCCTTCAGCTGAAGGCCTTCACTTCTGTACGTGGCAACAAGTACCTCCAAGTCCACTCAGAAAGAGAAATAAAACATAATCTCTCACTGCAGTTTCTGATAAAAAGAGGACTTCAGGGGAAAAAAAAAAAAGCTCTTATCTTTCCCATAAAGTCCTCTTAAAGTCTGACAGGGAAGCTAAGACATAGTTGCAAGCCAAGACATGACATTCTCTAACTGCCACTGTTCGCTCTCTTGAACTGAATTTCTATTTTGAGAAGTGACTGGGGAAAAACAAATCAGCCTCATTTTCAGTGTTTATTCATTTGTGGTCTATGAACTATTAGTTAGTTTCATTGGTATTGCCCAATTATAATCAACAAGATTACATGAGTGTCACTGAAGACACAATTTGAAAACAAGGACACTGGACAGCTCTTTCACAGCTGGCATGACCACAGATACGTTACCAGAGAGTTTAACTGAGGATCCAGCTTCACTGAGGTTGAGGACATATGTTCATTAGACACAAACAGAGCTAGTTTGTGTTAAAAAAATATCAGCTGAAGCCTAGAAGAGTAGGCAATGGGCTGAAGGCTGGGCTCACTTAGGATGCTCTTTCTAGTCATACTTTCCTTATAGCATTTTTCACTCCGGAGAGGAACTGCACTTTATACACTGGCCTGCCTTCCCTCAGGTGTCCTGCAGGTCAGGCTGCTCTAATACTTCCTAAAGTTAATGTCCTTTCCTCACTCCTGGACAGAGTCTTCTCATGAAGAAATGATGCCAGGTTCAGCGCAGAGATTTCAGTAAAGAACTAAACAAAAAGCTGACAGTGGTTTCTGGGTTACACTTTCAGAAGGGTACATTTTGTTCTTGTTGGTGTCCGTCCAAAATAACATCAGTCTAAAGTTTACTGGAATTTATTCTGGCTTACACTATCGGAAGTGAAAGTGAACTAGTTTCAAGAGACAAGTACATTTTCTTGGTCAAGGGAAAGAGATGTACAGTTTGAATTCAAAAATCTCTCATACCCCCTGGTAAGTGGTAGCATCAGTCATCAGTAACATCACCCATTTAAAAAACCATGGCACTTGTGCCGGTAGTAGCCAGTTAACTTTATTCTATGCTCTATTTCATGAGCATAACAAAGCACTAACTCTGATCTCTGTCTGTCTTGAAAAGCCTTCTCAATTTAGAAGCTTTCAATCAAGATTTTATCAATATTTTTTATTTTAATAAAAAATAAAGTTAACATGGCATTTAATTTATTTTTTTTTTATTTTTAGCTAACTCAAGTGAAATTCTACTTTATATTTTTTTATGCTCTGCAGCTTTCTGTACTATAAACTCATACTGATAAATGAAGACACATCATATAAGTTCTACAAGTGTTCACTTTTCTTTCATAGACATCTTTATGCTAAGCATATATAGTGTAAGAGGAGAATAATTTCCTAACACTGATGTGTAATATGGAAGGTTTGCATTGCCATAATGTGAAAAACAACTTCTTTTTTTTTTTCCCCAGGAATAAGAAAAGAGACATGTAACAATAGTTTCTCACTAGCAAGAACAGCTGAGATGCATTAAAGACCAGTCAGCCACAAAATAATTGCTTTAAACTTGCACCTGCTTTTTTTTTTTTTTTTTTTTTAATTTAAAGAGAAATTGCCCCTGCTTTTTTTTTTTTTTTTTTAAATTTAAAGAGACAGATGCTAGGAGGTCAGGCTAAGGTAAGGCATACTGAGGATAAAGAGATTGTAAATGCAGAGTGGGGCTATGCAATTGTCTCTTCTGGGACAGGTGAATAAGATATAAAAGAATGTACATTTTCAAAAAATAACTTTTTGCACATCATTGCAATGTAACACTTTTTTTAACCCATGATTACAGCATGGAAAGTTCTTTACCCTACTAACTTGAATCTCTTCTAGTTTTAAACAAATTTCCAATAGCTAATCATTAAACTAGGGGCATAAAATCCTTGTGAACGCAGAAGTTCCACTGCTCTGAATCCTTCCACTGTTTGAGAGAAACAGTTAGATTCAAAAAGTAATGACAGCTCTGAAAGGGGAAAAAGGTGGCATCTGTACCTGGTCAGCTGTTTACCAGAAAAGAAGTAAGACTTTTGCAAGCCTGCTTCTGATCAAATTTAAAGGAAGTAAGAGGCAAAGTGGGCACAGGCTGTTTTCATGATATCCAGCTTTGAAAATCTGATCTTCAAGAAACCAAGATACCAAGAAACAGTATCTGTATGAAGATCCTGAAGCAGTAGCGTAAACCAGTCCTCTCCCAGGGCTGTCCCCAGTTCTCCAAGCATCCCAGCAGAAGCATGAAAGCCACTGTTGTGAGGATCTTCTCTGGAATCCCGAAAGGGAGTAGTCCGGGAGAGGTTGGACCTCCTCTGCTCAGCACTCAGGAGGCCACCACTGGGGTACTGTGCCTGGCTTGGGATACTCAGTATGAGAGAGGAATGGAGTAAGTCCGCTGGAGGGTCACTAAAATAGTTAGGGGGCTGGAGCTTAAAACATCTGAAGAGAGGCCAAAGACACTGTGGGTGTTTCATCTGGAGAAGAGGAGGCTAAAGGGAAATCTAGCAGCAGTCTTCAGCTACCTGATCAGGGCTTATAGAGAAGACTGAGCTCAACTCTTCTCAGAAGTGCACAGCAAAAGGACAAGGGGCAATGTACACAAATCGCAACAACAGAAAAAATCCCTGTGAAGGTGGTCAAACATGGCAACACAGACTAGAGAGGTTGTGAAATCCTCCATCTCAGGCAGATTTGATATAACTTCGAGGTTAGCCCTGTTTCAAGCAGAGGTTGGGACTAGATGATCTCTCAAGGTCATAGAATCATAGAATCATAGGATATCTCAAGTTGGAAGGGACCCATAAGGATCATCGAGTCCAACTCCCTGCTCCTCACAGGACTACCTAAAACTAAACCATATGACTAAGAGCATCATCCAAATGCTCCTTGACCTCTGACAGGCTTGGTGCCGTGACCACTTCCTTGGGGAGCCTATTCCAGTGACCGACCACCCTCTCCGTAAAGAACCTTTTCCTAATGTCCAAGGAATGGTCCTTTCTAACCTCAGGAGAGTATGATTCTACAAAAACCCGAGTGCTATGAATACATTGATAGGATCCACCATGCAAAGGCAGGATAAAAACAGATGTCTAGGACAAAGAAGAAACTACACATGAGGGCACTTGCTACTTCGGGATGAGTTTCTTGTATCAACACTCTCAAGGAAACTCTGAATATGAAGGTGACTGGGACAAGAGAAATCAGTGTATATCTAATGCACAATGCCTTTTCAAATATCTTGCAAGTATCAGTAAAATAGCTGTTTGGAAAACCATCAAATTTTCCACTCCAGTGGGAGAAAATCTGCATCCACATACCTTCTCCAATTCTTCTATGTGTATGCTATTCCAAAGGAATGCATTCTTTGAATTAAAAAGGACCCAAAATATTTTACTCAGAAGCTTGTGACATAATTTTATTGTATTTTGTAGCATTCTTTCCATGACATGCCTAATACAATATTTGTAACCACTACCAAAAGGATTGTATGAGGGCATTCACTGCACTTACAAATTTGATAACCAGTAAGCAAACAGGCAGCTACAGTTCTTATTGTGCTTTTTTTTTTTTTTGAAGTGAGCATTTAATATCCAAAATAGCAGCCCAGGATCAGAACAATCTTACTGTCCTTAACATTATTATGTTCTAGGTAAATATGAACATAATCTAAATGAAAGATGGTGAAAACCTCATGGTTAAGTGGAAGTCCACAAGCGGTTTCATGGAACATTCATATGTGCCTAACTACTGCACATTTTTGTAGCAACACTTGTCCTAGCTAAATATGGATATATTTGTGCTTATAGAGGCTTCATTTCCCTAGTTTATTTGTAAAGCATATAACCCATAAAACTAAAACTGAGATTTGTGGGACTTTTCTAAAGTATATGTTAAAAAGAGTTTTGTAGGGATCTGGGGTCTGTTTTGCCGTTTCTTTGCTTTGTGTAGGTCATATGCAAGTTTTAGTCCTAGAACTGGAATAACATTTCTAAGTGACAGCATAAATGACAGCCATTTTAGTGTGGGCTTTTCCCAGCAAATATTAAAAAATCTCCTTGAATGCAAGCCCGATAATGCTAAATTACCAAGTTACACATCCTGAGCCATTTTAACTTCCCACACAGAAAATTCTCTCCACCTCTCCCCCAAAAAAACCCTCAAAACACACCAGATGCAGATTAAATTTGCTAAACTTCTACAAATAACTGGCAATACTGGGACATTGGCTGGGGTTTGCTACACTTTTGAATGACTGAACTTACATCGCTTTTTTTTTTGTTTCTCTCCTATTCAGGTATTTGTTTGCTGTATCTGCCTGGATCAGGACTAACAGAAATAAATCATTGTGCATTATATCTGAAAAAAACCCTACACATACAGTCTTAGATACCAAGAACTTTTCATATAATTTCTCTCCTGACACTCAAAACATCTATCATCATCATGCCTCATCTTAAAAAAGTTACACTTCTTTTTCTGAGACAAAATACACCAGGGCTGAGATAGGAGTACAGAATAGCAGAAAAGAGTCGCAGTTTACTCGTCTGGCAAGTATACTTCAGAGCTGACACTCCTTTGCGAGGGTCAGTACAAGGTAGTTTAGCCATCTGAATGTGCTTTACAAATGAGAAAAAAATCCAGTTTGTAACTATTGAGAAATATGAGAAGATACTTAAAACATAGTAAAAAGTAAACATTTACTGAATTATTTTAAAGTATATTACTAGAACCAACAGGACATAACTTTAAACATGTATAAAGTATTATACATAAAAATGCATAGATGTACAGTAAATATGTTCATTTATATGTAGACAGAGTAATATGTACACATAGGGTCTGTTGTGCTTCTGTAAGTCTAAGCAGTAATTCCTGTGGTATATTGTCTTAAAGCAGTTTTATTATACAACTGTTTCAATGTAGCAGGTGCTGAGAACAACATACATTAATGCTAAGTAGTAAGTCATATCCATTTACTCTTGAAATGTACAAATATAGGAAACAAAGGCCATAAATGCAATAGTACCTACACCTCCAAGACTTCCTTTTTTTTTTTATTTAAATATGCACAAGTCCGCCTAATGGTGATACATAGGTTTCTTTCCTGCTTCCCTTCCATGTCAACATGTTGACCAGGCACTCAGGACAAAATCTTTGACGCACTTCAGCACCACTTCCACTGATTCAACTCAGTGCGCTCCTGACCTTGAAGTCTTCAGGTCAAAAATGAGAGGAAAAAATAAAATAAAAAATATATAAATAAAACAAACAAGCTTGTGGGCTTTTTTCACAAGTTATTTGCCACCAATACTGTCAAAGCAGCTGAATCGTAGTGCATCCATGGGCAGGAGCATATAGCAGCTTTTGTGCACTTCGCAAAAAAATATATTAAAGAAAATCAAGTCTTTACTGGCTTGTTTTATCTGTTGCTAAAAAGATGCTGTGCTGCTTCTGAGCCCTTTCCATCAAATTCTTTTTCTTCTTTTTCTTGTCCTTTGTTTTTGTTGGCCTTCTTCCTAAAAATAGGAAAACCAATGTCAATGAGTCAATTAAGTAAAGAATACAGAAGTAATATTAGACTGTAGTCAAAAAACTCAGTGGCACAGAAATTATCGATGGGGACTGTAAAGGTAATGCTGGCTAATGAGTTTTGATCATCAGTGGAAACAGAAGTTTTCAATGTGGTACAAGAGGAAGCAAGATCCTCGACTGTCAACACTTGTCCACAGGCACAATTTTGCTGGTATGAGTAACCATGTTGATATAGGTCTCACTTTCGTCAGGGTAACTCACGCAAGCAACGTTATGCAAGTGCCTGGGGCCCAGGGCCAAACAAGTACGTAGACTCCTAACTCACTGAAAGCTGGATACATGCCTTAGGCCCTTGTGTAAATTTGCTTCAGTGAGTAATCCTATTTAAGTCAAGTCCAATATATCCGTGATTTCAATGAGAAATTAGGCATTACAGCCCAAGTATTTGGTTGATAACTCACACAAGCAACATTATGCAAGTGCCTGGGGCCCAGGGCCAAACAAGTACGTAGACTCCTAACTCACTGAAAGCTGGATACATGCCTTAGGCCCTTGTGTAAATTTGCTTCAGTGAGTAATCCTATTTAAGTCAAGTCCAATATATCCGTGATTTCAATGAGAAATTAGGCATTACAGCCCAAGTATTTGGTTGGATGGCGTCCTACATGCTTTGGCAGAAACAGTGCCGCCTCTGTGAAGAACTGCTATTATTGCTTATTAGTACACCGTGACTAATTCTCACAGCATATTACAGTGCAGAAACAAAAATTTCATTACACGCTTCTTACTATTGGAAGTTCACTGAAAAATAACCAAAATCGGGAAATCGGGATCAATGCAGGAAAAAAAATTCTCAGGCTCCTGGGATGGGAAAGCTTCTTCCTGTTCAGCTCTAATAATAAATCAGTGCCCTTTGATTATCTCAGCAGAGATACCACGGACTGAAAAAATGCTAGATACAAAGGCCCTCATTCAGCAATGCATTATCTTTTAAGTATATGCTTAAATCTTATCAAGTCTAGTAGGATTTAAGGAGATGACTGAATACTGTCTGGAGTGAGAACAATCTGGGTTTTCTTGGCAGCATCATATACTGAAATATGTGATCAATGGTTAAAAAAATAAGGTTATTAATCTCTAGAGGTGCCAATTTTGCAAACTTTCAGGAGAACTAAATGAACTTAGGAAGACAGTAAAAGGAAAATCAAGTAGCAGATGACATAAAAATGTGAAAATGCATTTTTCACCTATATTGTCAGTACATTATTAACTGGGAGAAATGTTTGCCAGTCTGGCTTTGTCTTACTTCCATATTGTTTCTTAATTAAAAAGGCCCAAACCAATATGAAGCATTTTTCTCTATTTGATAGTAACACTGAATAAATCTGATTCTAAAATTATCAAAATTTATGATTCATTAAAAATATATATTTATATATTATATGCGATACTTCAGATTACGTATTTGTAATATGCTGTCTAGGCTACTATTCTCTAGGAATTATTGGAATACTTGTATATAAAATAAGACAGGACATTACGGTAATGAGCACATGAGTTTAGTCCATATTAAAATCATAAAGGTCCTTGAAATTTACTTCTGCTTCTCATTAAAGTCTGGCATTAATGCTACTATGGCATTTTGCCATTTACAGTAAAACCTCAGTCCAACCAATCATTAATCAAAGCAGCTTTTAAGTTAAAACTCTTTAGTAACACTGTATCTAATGACTAGGCACATCTAATGAGGTCAGAGGGAAGGAATACTTGACACAAAGTGGCATTACAACAAGATGGTTTGAATTATAGAAATTTCCATATCAAAATTTTATTACGTGATTCTACTAGTTGGTATATTGTAAGGCATCAGAACTGGGATGAATGTATAGTTCAACACTGTATTGGAACTTGCATTTTAAATATTCTAAACCCAATATTTTAATATTTTAACCCAAATCTTCGAGATACTTATTAAGGAAGGAGTAGATGAGGGGAAGCAATTTTAAAGGACTGACCAATGCTGCTGGTCAATTGATTCTCAGAAGACCCGCAGAATAAATTAGAGCTTTATTGGAGTTTTGCTATCCTGTTTGCTCAGTGATCTTACTTTCTGAGGTTTTTCACTGTACAGACCAATTAGTAAAAGAAATATAAACTCCAGTCAGTGCCTCATCTAGTTTTCTCTACAACTTCCTCCAGAGAACTAGAGTAAATGCTTACTGTAAGTTTACAGTAGGGAAAGATCCTATTATTTTTCCTCTGAAAACTTTGAGATGCACAGATAAAATGACTCACAACCCACTTGGTATCTCTGTCTAAGCCTTACAAAGTAGCTCCTGTAACACAAGCATCAGATCAAATTGCCAGCACTCTCCCCATACAATATCCTTAAAATAGAAATGAACTGGACTAGATTTCAGTGATTTGACATGTCATTGTGCAACAAACACATTACGGTGCTTCTGCTGCTCTGCAGCAATCGTCCCCGTACCTGCTTCTGACCCAAGGCACACCAAAGGCAAATTACCGTCTTTTACATGTGCCATGGAGTAACAACCCGCGCGGAGGCAGTACCACTGAGCCATTGATACCTGATAACTTGTTCTCCTGTTAGCAAGCTCTTTGTCTGCTCACTATATTTCTAAGTGCCCTGTTGCACAGAATAAGTTTTATTATTTTCAGGACAATATTAAACCACACAGAGAAAATCCAGATGGCTGGCGATGCTGATTCCAACTGTCATTTTAACCAGAAAACTGAATATAAAAGGTATTTCTTGGCTAACCATTGGTTCCCATATTGTTACTAGAATGAAACAGAGATTAGAGATCAGCAAGAAAAAAGTGACTATAAAGACTAGAGAGTTCAAACAAAGTATGCTGCTGAAGTCCCCACGCATGAGAACTTCTATTAAATTCAGATTTCAATTACAGTGCTTATTTTGTCGGCAGAAGCACAGTGAACAGAAGTAACTTCTGAATATCTTGCTACAGATGCCTTTTGAAGAACATGATGTTTATGATGCAGAAAGTAGATCCTCAAAGAGGATCCAGAAGCCAAACTCGCCCAGTTCCCCAACTGGAGGGCAGTGGGGCGAGGACGGCCAATGGAAGAGGCGTTCCCCTGGGGCTGGGATGTCAGCGGCTCCCTCCGCTCTGTGCCATGGGTCAGGCGTGGAGAACCTCGTCCGCAGGGACCCTTGCACGGTGTCCCTCACACCTCGCCATGCTCACTGCTCCTGAGAGCAAGAGCCCTGACCCCAAGTCTCTCTCTCCATAGGAAGCAGCAGGGCTCTGCTGCGCTTGGCTTTGCTGGGGCAGTTGAAAAGGAGTGGATTTTAGCAGCGGTGTATTATAGTCCAGAAGTTCCTGTTGCACACAGAAGGCAATTCCTGGTTGAAGCAAACAAGGAGGGAGAGCAAAAGCACTCTGTCTCTCTAGAGGGGTTTTACCGCTATCAATAACAGGTTATGGTATTACTGCACAGGACAGAAAGTGACAATATCTGAGATATTAAGCCTGATCCACCTAGCCTATAAACCCCTCCTGATCAGAAACAGCACCCAAGTGAGCAACTTGTCCAGCACAGCCGCCTGGGATCTGCAGCCAGCACCGCTCAACATTACATCCTTCCGAGGGATAACTCGCCTGCTTGTCATATGGCAGATAGCCACGCGCCTTGCTTCTCCTTTCCAAGTTACAGGCCTCCACATCAGGTCTGATCTTCAATCTTTATTTTATGACTGCAGACAATCTATTTTTGAAAGCCCTTAGTGTTAACAGCAATGGGAGCAAACACAAATAATTCATGCAAAGAGCAGGATATCTGAGCACTGTTCAGGTTACCGTATTCCTATTTTTATTTTGATTGCCTTTTCCCTTGCATGCTAACAAGCTAACTAACTTTTCCTTGAAAAGCATTTTTTATCTTTGACTGTCTAAAAAAAGGCTCCTCAATTTTTATTATCAGAATTAGCTCTGAACATAATTTACAGGATTTGTTTAATACTCTGTAAAGTTATGTGTATACACTGACATGTATAGGGCCTAAGAAAGCTCTGAAACTTAGCTGGATTCGGAGTTCAATTATCTAGCAAATAAAAGCCTTAAAAGCTTACCTATCATTCTATATCTCATATTTCTGCACAGGTTATTTTACAGATGATTGGCACAGCCATTCATTCAAACCCTTTATTGCCATGTTATAAAATTCAGTTTTGCTGTTTGCTTTATAAATTACCAATGAGTAAGTCCTCATTTTCTACTAAGTAACTTATCCCAATGGTTGGTATTTTACAGTGTTACTTATAAAAATTTTGTTTGGACCGCTTGCTTGTGGTAGATAGATGGGCAACTAATAAGCTATGCAATGAAACATTATTGTCAGCTAACAACGATTCACAGCTTCTAATGGTATAATAACATATAGGTAGTGATACAATAACATATAGATAATAAGACAATTCCAACACAAATTCCTGAAAAAACATTATTTATGCTAATATACACAGCAATTGTCCATACACCAGAGAGTAACAGCTACAAAAATAATTATTTAACTTGGCTCTTGCTGGATTATTTTTCTTCCTTTTTTGTTGTTTTTGTACCATTTTACCAGTGTTGCTCCTACAGCTGCTGCATGCTGGTATTATTAGAGACTCGTGCTCAGTTCTCTGGTTTGTCTCATACCCTGAGCTGAAAGGTATTTGGAAATACTGCATGTTCTTTCTGGATGGACCCACCTGGTCAATTTGGGATACACGTTACTTGGCTCAGAAGGAGTCTTCATCACCTTCTGCCAGCTGCAGGCAGCTTTCTTCAGACAGAGTCTGGGCAGCAGATTCCTTACACTCAGGGCACTCCTGATTCTCCAGAATTAAAATGCAGCAGATGTATTCACAGGAACTCCCGGCAACGTTGCTCGAGATCCTTGGCTCAGACAGACAGCATCAGTTTAGTATCCAAACTGTCCTTCATCTGCTGTA